TATATATATATATATATATATATATATATATATATACTTGGTAGCAACTTCAACTTTTAACTTCCGATTTCCTAAAAAAACATTCCCGTAAAACTCCAAACAATAACTACAAAATAAATGAGCAACTTTTCAGTCCTTGGTCCCAAATTATTACTCTTTTTCCTGTAAACGCTCAACCTTTCGCGATGATAACTTTCAAGCCTAACAAATGTATCCACCACAGAGGTCCCCAACACCTAATGGTGACGATAAATGCTTTAAGAGACAAAGACAACAAAACCAACTTCACTCAAAAAACCATAAGAGATGGCAATGAAGCACGAGTGCAATCAATAAGAGTTCAAAAAAGAAAAAAACAACAAAAATTTATCAATAACAAACGCAAACCAAAAAAAAAAGTTAGGAAATAGTTCGAACTGTAAGAGCTACGATTTCACCCGGATGAACCTCTCGAAACGATAACTAATGCCGTTTTCAACTTCCAGTGGTGGATTTTCCTCTTCTTTACGGAACTTTGCGAAGTCAAGCGAGGGAAAGAAAACATCCGCTCCAAAATCTCCCTCAACAAAGGTGATGAAAAGCTAAAATTATAATATTCAATTCATATTACAGAACAGGTCATAAAAAGGACCTGGCAAACCCGAGAAAAGTGAAACTTCCACACTGTAAAGAGATATAGAAGAGACTTTAACAGAACCGTTAAGACAAAAATATAAAATTGCATCAGTTACTCCTCAAATGTGAGAAAACGAATCGCATGAAACAAAGTAACGTAAACAACTAAGATTTTTCTGTAAGTTTACCTTTTCCAGGCGAGGTGATTCTAGACCCAACTTATACACGTCATGACCGCCTATATTCCAAATTATTTCCAATTTATCTCCCATTTTATCCAGTTTTTCCAGTGCATCTTCATAGCTTCTTGCAACAATAACATTTTCCTCAGCTACATCTTGCAACTAAATAATCATCATAATATAACTGAAAACTATGAAAAAAAAGCATTTTCAAAACAAATGTGAGTGTGGCGAAGCCTATTGTATTTCAAAAACACTAATACACTTAAAATTCCATAATCTACGTTTCACGGAAATCCATTCAAATAAATGCTCCTAAAAATGTTGCGAGTACAAAATTCACAAAGCCTTCTAAGCAAAAATTTAAGAAGTTATAAAATATCCGTACACAACAGCACCTAACTGGCAGCTACCGCTCCCACCTCCCCTTTAAACGAAGGTACAAAGCATATATTTTGACTGTACTCTAACAGAAATCAAAGAGACCCGAAAATCAACTATATTTGTATTCGATGTTTTACAGAATAAGTGCAGAGAAAAGAAACCATCAAACAAGTAAGACTGAAAGACCCAAAATAGAAGAAAAGTAATTCAACCTTTCGACTAAGCACAACGTTGATACGGCCTTTTAACGGACGAAACTTTGATGGAATACTTTCCCAATTCTTTCGTCCCATCAAAACAGCATTGATTTTTTTAGGATCCACTGTCGTTGTGGTAAGTTTGTGGAAATATGCCATATCTTTTGGTAGTTTCCAAGGTAATTTCCCGTTTTTACCTATCCCTCCTCGGCTATCCATCGCAACAATGATGTTTATAGGTGTAAGACGAGGTCCCATCCTTCTTTGAAGAAAGGAAAAAGTTTTATAGAAAACAAAACGAAAATAAAAATAGAGAGCAATGAAACAGAATTATTCTCCTCCCACTCCCTACCACATTAAAGAAGTAAGGAAAATAACAGAATGAAAAAAAAAAAAAGCTGGACGAATAAATACCGTACGGTTTATCAAGTTTTTCACTGCATCGTCTAAAGGCGCTATTGCAAGTGATTGTAGAAAAAAAAAATTCCCGGAGGACCAAAGCTAATTGCCAAGTATAGGAAAAAAAGTAGAAAAAATGTAAAGAGCAGAAGAAACTACAAAAACACCTAAAAACGATAGCTAAGTAAGAAAAGACCAGCACAAATTCTGCAGGAAGAACAACTGGAGACACACTCCTCGGCACTACACAATAACAAAACCAGAGGACAGCAATAGTGAGGGGTAACCATGAGCATAAGCAGCCAACAACAGCGCTGCTGGACCTGTAAAGAATAAACAATTCAAATTACGGTTTTCTAATCCGAAAAGACGTCTGCAGCCGAAAATCGTCAGATCTTTGCAGCATAATATCTCCACTTTACTGCAGCCCTATAGCATCAACGGCGTTCGGCACGCTTTTGCCGTTCATTGGCAGTTTCCCTAACACAATCCAGATGGTTAGAGGACGTTGTTCCCGGAGCGCAGTGAAAGAAGTATAATTAATTTAGAAATAATAAAAGGTAACTACAAATTGATGGGGGATTAAAAAAAAAGTATTCGTGGGACAAATTTTTGTTAAAACTAGACATGCTTCTGTGTACTGTTAGAAGTTTGTTGAGAAGTTTGGTGAAAGGGGGGCCGGAAGAGATGTACGGATGGAGTAGGAATGAAAAAAAAAACACAAAGAAACTTGAAACACTTTCGAAATACTACACTTGAATTATCCTTTTGAACCAAAGAATACCGGTAATTTACTTACAACTTTCCTTATCAATAGTAAATCGTATTCATTATCTGTGTTAAATATTATGCCATTCAATCCATAATTTAATGTTGTTGGTAACCACAACAACATTAATGCACTGATACAGTCATACATAAATTGCCTTCTAATAGCGCTATCAGCAAAGTGTTGACAAAATTACACAAATAAATATTTTTGAATACAATTGGTG